GATGGGCAGACGCACAGTCTGGGAGTGTCGTCTGTCTTTGCCTTTGACGCTGCTCAGGACACCCTGCGACTCACTGAGGCGGAGCAGCAACGTGTTGGCCAACTCCAAGCAAGAGTGGTCTCCTTTAACCGCAACGAATCAAATATTGTCTGCCCGGACAGGTATATCTTTGTTCAGTTTAAGCACGCTGGCCGACACCACAATCAGCTGCAGATGATGATGAACATCATAATGTGGGCAGAACGTTTGAATCGCACAGCTGTGCTAGGTCCGTTTTTCGTCAAAAACGAATGGGTAAGTCACAGTGATTTGTATAACTTTTCTGAGATTGCACGGCGCTATTGTGTTGTGTCTATTGATACGATGCGCAAGCGTCTGTCAAGTCGAATACCATTAACCCCTGTTACAATTGCATGCTTTGACGGAGATATGTGTAGGAATTCGTTAATGCACTTTGATTTCAAAGTAAAAACGAACTTAGTCAAAATTGTTGAGCTGTCTGCTCCATGGAACTATGTAGACGCACATTTCTACCTCAAAAGGTGTTTCCTCAGATATCCTAAAAAATCCAAAGCGCACATTGTAATAATCAATTACATCGCGGCGTTCATGATGACACGTGGACTCTCTGATCATGCGGCAATTTATGGTCTTCTGCGGCCATCAGCTTTGATTGCCCAGAGGGTCAAACGGTTCCTTAACCATTCCTTTGGCCCCCGTGGTCGGTTCTTTGCGGTGCACAAGCGACACCGTGAAATGACGTGCAATGATTTTCTAACGGAATCACTTCCACAGCTACGGACTCACTTTGGTGTGACCTTGAGAAGTGAGCGAGAGCAGCTGATCCGTGCGCAGTGCAATATCAGCATCCCGTACCTCGCAGCACTACACGCGTCGCTCGGGCTGCGGCTCTTCTCCTACCCGATGTTCTTGGCACACGATGGACAGGACCCGTACACAGTGCCACAGCTAAAGGCACGGGGTGCTCGCGTGTATGAGAAGGAACACTACGCCCAATATGAGGACTGTGCCTATGGCTTGTGTGCACTCGCTGTGGATTACTTTGTGATGACGGAGGCTGAGTACTTCAGTGGGAATGCGGTGTCTACAGTATCGGACAATGTGTGCTTTGTAAGGCTTGGCAGGGGAAAGGCGTGCCATGGGATGGAACCCGCTATCATTCGCATGTTTTCGTATGATGTGCGTGAGCCCTACCCGCTGGGTGGGTAGTATGTGTGTTTGCCCTTCTGTGGTCGCTCTTGTGAGCTTGCCATAATCTCTGCTGAGTTGAGTTGCATAAGTGTTTGGCCTAGTTTTGTAATGGGTTTTAAGCTTCTGTGGTGTTAACCCGCTGTGGCCACCCAGACCCTTGCTGCCGTGGGGCGACTGTCTCTCTCTCTCGCCTCTGTTGTGGGAGCAGCAGTTTTCCTAAACTTGTGCGTGTATGTGTTTTTTTTTTTTTTTGCTGGTTTTTTGAGTTTCTTCTGGACTGCAATTGTTTTTTTTTTTCTTTTTTTGCTTAAGAAGTTGACTCTTGAGTTGATTTTCTTTCGTGTTGGTTATTTTTTTTTTTTTTGTTTTTGTTGTTGTTGTTGTTTTTTGAACTATGTCGTTGAATGCGTTTTGTGTGTGTGTGTGTATTTTTTTTTTTTCATGTATTTTTTTTCTGTTTTTCGGTTGTTGTTTTTTTTTTTTTTGTGTGTGTGTGTGTATGCCACGGGTTGTGGTATTGTTGTGGGAACTCTGTTTCTCAAGTATATTCTGAAGGTCTATATATTCGAAGATAGTGGGATGGTGAGTAAGAAGGTTTTTAGGCGCGGAGATGTGCGTCAGCGTATCTTTCGATTTGTATCTCTCTCTGTTTTCTTTGCCATTCTGGTAATGTTGTATTTTTCTTTTGTTCGCTTCTTAATGGACGTGGAGGATGGGAAAGATGATGTCCAAAGAGTGTCGGTTGTGATCCCTCTTGCGAATTGCAGTGATCCTCGGCGTAGTTTTCAACCGTTGGGTGAGTTTAAATTTTGGGGAAAAGTGATGAATGCATCGTGGCCGTGTCCAACATCTGGGATGAATAATCAATTGATGATGATGATGGGAAAACTGTTTTGTCTTTCAGAAGCGGAAGCGAAGCGGGGCGCTGCTGTTTCTTCAAATGGCAATAGTCATGATAATAATAATAATAATAATAATAATAATAATAGTAATAGTGGTGGTAAAGAAGTTGGTATTGTGAATAAGCATTCCCCTTCCGTCGCAGTATTTAAATGGAAGGATATCACTTGTTCCCCTACTGGTGGAAAAGAAGGAAAAAGACGTTATGCTGTGGGTGGAGATGATTATGTGTATATGTGGTTTCGCTGGAGTGAACTTATGGAATTCTCAGAGGTGCGACTACACGCGACTGCCACCTCTGTGAATGCTGTTGGATATGCAGGTGTGGTATCACTACTTCCTACAGCTAATGAAACTACTCAAAAAGAAGAAAAAGAAAAAAAAGGAGAACAAGAACAACAACAGTTATTAAAGACCTCACATGATGCGACGCATGTAACTCATATCTGTTTATCGGATGTATACGGTTGGAGTGAACAGCCATGGTTATCGTCTTGTCCAGCCTCTGTAGATGCTATTTGGGGAACTGCTGTATATTGGGATATGCGATATGCACTTAAACTACATACATGGTTTGAAAAGACGGCAGTAGACTTTCTACAGCGCCACGGTGTAGCCCGCAGTCCATCTCAATCTCATTTACACGCCGTACTTGGATTACATATACGTCGTGGTGATTATGAAAAGTTTTGTCGTGAGAATGCACATGGAAAAGGACGAAGAAAGTATCGTGTCCCACCCTTTGTTTATTTGAAAAGGTGGAAACATCCAAATAATACTATATTGGGAGCAAATTTCTGGGATGCGTGTTATCCTTCATTACAACAGATCATTACAACAGTAGCAACAATAACTGCAAAGTATACACATATTCGAACAGTAATGCTTATGACGAATAGTGTCTTTTTTCGTAAAGCGTTAACAGACGCATTACGTGAACGGAAGGATACACAACATCTTAATGTACTTTCATTTGTTGCAGCTGCACCGGATAGAAATCGTGCGACGACGACGAATACTAATACTAATACTACTACTACTAGTGAAGGAGGAGATAATAGGAGTAATGTAGATATACATAGTAGTAATAATAATAATACTATTACTACTACTACTACTACTACTACTACTGCTGTGGCTGGTGAGGTACCGCCATCTTATTGGGGAAGAAGTGGTGCTGCCTATTACACAACTGCAGAAGCTGCGTGGATGGATATTGCACTCATCTCACTTGCAGAAGTGATGGTACTTAATCGTTATAGTACATTTAGTCATTCTGTTGTGGATGTTCATATTCTGCGAGAGAAGCGGTTGGCATCTAAACTTTATTGGTGGTAATACAGAATAGACTGTATGGATGTGTATTTTAGACAGCATCTCAACAGAGAGAGAAAGAGAGAGAGAAGAAGGGAAAAATAAAATAAAATGGGGCTGAATGCCATTTGTGGTGTATTTTGAAAGTATAATGGATAAAGACAATGGTGGGTGTTTTTTTTTTTTTTTTATTTTATTTTAATTGTTGTTGTTTTGCTTTGTTTGCTTGTGTGTGTTTTCTTTCTTTTTTTATATTCATAGCATAGGGTTTGCTGTATTATCTACAGTTTCCCAATCTCACTCCTCTCCTTTTTTTTTCCCCTTCCCCTCACTCTGTGTTTTTCTTATTCTATTGACATTTTACTCCTCTTTTTTTTTTTCTTTTAACGCTCTTTTATTATCATTATTACTATTATTATTATTATTATTATTATTATTATTATTATTATTATTATTATTATTATTATTATTATTATTATTTCATTCTTCTTCTTTCTTTTTTTTTTCTTTCTTTCTTCTTATTTATTATTATTATTTGTTGTTATTATTATTATTATTATTATTATTATTATTATTATTATTATTTAGTTCCCCCAGTGTGTGTATGGTATATACGTACAATGCGTAGTATACTACAATGGAGACAACAACAACATTTACATTCGAAAAATAATAATAATAATAATAATAATAATAATAATAATAATAATAAAGTGAATGATGAACATATTGGTGATGTTGTAGACATTCTACTAAATAAAACAGGTGCATATCACAATAATAACAACAGAAACAACATCTTTAACGATAGTAACAGTAATCATGATGATAATAATAAGAACAAGAAGAAAAAGGATAATAAGGGAGAAGGAAAGAATAATAATAATAATAATAATAATAGTAATAATAATAATAATAATAATAATAATAATAATGATATCATAGTAACTAGTAACTCACATTCCATCACAAAACACCGCAATTGTGCTCCGCAGGGAATAACCGTCGCAGTGAGTCGAGGAGTAAATCCCTTTTTCATCTCTCTACGCTCTGAGAAGAAGAAGAAAGAAAAAGAAGAAAAGGAAACGCCTATTCTAAAGGGAAAAGAGAAACGCAAAACACAAAGTAAAAGAGAAGAAATACCACGTATAGTGGATATGATGAAAAAGAGAAGAGGAGAAACAATTATGAAAGGAGTATCATTAATCTCTAAACCTTCATCTTCATATAATAATAATAATAATAATAATATTAATACTACTAATATTAATAATACTAATAATATTAGTTCAAAGGAGAATTATTGGCCATTGCCTAGTCGATCTCTTACCGCTCGTAAACTCCGCGGGTTAAGTAAAGGCACAACAAAGGCTGTAGCCCTTTTTCGTTTATTTAAAACCAATACACTTGTAGGACAATCACGGTGTGTAAAGAGTCGTCGTTATCGTGAAGAAATAAAAAATAAGAAGAAAAAGAATAAGAATAGTGAGAAATGTTTGAATAGTGTTTTTTGGAATGCGGTAGCCACTATTGTACAGCAGCGTAATGTTTACAAGAGAGAATGGATGGAGATGTGGAAAACACATTTATCTAATACAACTGTTGCTGTTCATACTACTACTACTAATGATAATAATAATAATAATAATAATAATAATAATAATAATAATATGAATAAGGAATTAATAGAGTTACTTCCTTTATTACGTGCCTTTCCTCTATTTGGACTTGTGGTGGATGTCGAACTCTTTCAATGGCAACAACAAGAAAAAGAAGAAAATGGAAATACTTTATCATCTTCTCTACTACATATTCTTCATACTGTTCGTGGTATTATTATACATGAATCTTCTAAATTTATTGGAGTGGCTCTCTTAGAAGAAATAAAAGAAGAAGAGACACCACCAGCAACAACAACAGTAAGCTTTTCCTCCATCTCATTAGAGAACTATCTCCATCAACTGACTAAACAATATCAACAAGAAGAAAAAGAAGAGGAAAAGAAAAAAAAGGAAAAGGGAGGAGAGAAAAGGGAAATAGAAAGTAGAAATGTAGAAACAATAGAGAAACTTCCAGTGGGTCGTGTTGTATCTATTGTAAAGGCATTCCCTGGCGGTATAGGAACAACAACAATAACAACAAACACAATAACTGCTGCTGTAAGAGTAATGAAAGAAATTTATCCTTCTACAGATATGAATTGTTTGTTAGCGAAGGTGGCAGCAGCAGAGGTGAAAGATGATGAGGAAAGTCCATTTAGACATCTTGTGGGATATTATCTATGAATACTAGTTGTCATTATTATTATTATTATTAATTAATTATTATTTATTAATATGGTTTTTTTTTCTCTCTTTTTTATCTTTGATAAATAGGAGAGAAAAGCGAAATGTACAGTCTTCATGCTTGCTTCTTTATTATTATTTATTAATTTTATTTATTTCTTCACTCGTCTCCTTTACGCGTGAAGTTGTACATTATATCCCCCCAAATGACGAATACGATGGGATATTATTATATTATTATACTTTTATACTAAATATACTGTATTCTTATGATCATTTCTCTTTTTTTTTTTAATCTAACCATATCTATATACATATATATATATATATGTCTATCTATATCTTCTTTCTACTTTTCTACTTTTCTTTTTTTTTACTATACCTATCTAATTCCTTTCTAGTATATTTATTTATTTAGAGAGAAAGATAGTGAGATATATTAGCGTATTAATGAGTTCAGATCCCTTTTCCATTACTCTCAAGACCTCCGTCACTACACGGGCACCTCTCAGTGAACGTATTCCCTCTCCTAAGAAGAGAGATAATATTGTGCCCGCCACTTCTGCCTTACATCGTGGAATCCACACAACTTATGATGCCGCGTACAGTTCTATTCCCGCCCGTTCAGATCCATCCGAAGGAAATCATTATTTAACTCTTTTACGATCCAACAATCATAATCATAATAATAATAATAATAATAATAATAATAATAATAATATGAATATGAGTGGATCTACTGTAAAAGGAGAAGGAGAAACAACAACAGAAGGAGAAAAGGTACCATTAACGCAATCCACATTTAAACATCGACGTACATTATATCCAGAACCAGTTTCTATTCGACATGAACCTCGCGATTGGGAAACTATTCAACAAATCCGTACACGTGCTATTCAACCAATTGCGAGTAGAGATTTCTACAGTACAGCGCGTAAAATTGAACGCATGGATGATGATCTTCGCGGTGGATTGGTTGGAAATGCACAACGAACAGTAGATATTATGCGAAAAAGAGCTCAACGCCCATCCTTATGTCCACCAAAAGATGTATATCATTTAACACATCCCACTACTTTACCATGTGAAACAGATATATATGGTCAACCTGCACGATCTTGTTTGGATATTGTGGATTGTACACAATTATTACCAGGCACAGAAGAGGAATATGCATTTGATGTTTCTCCATTAGCACGACTTTCTTCTGCAAATACAACGCCAGCTATGGCAGCCGTCATGGAAACAAGAGAAAAAGTAACCGTACCGGAAATTGCGGCAAGTATGTATAAAGAAGCCACACGAGCACGAACCACAGCTCCTCCAATGGATATGCATACACATCTTAATCGTACAAAAACAACAACAACAACAACAATGACTACTACTAATATTAATACTAATAAGAATAATAATACTATGAAAACTACTACTACGACTACGACTACGACTACAAAGACTATGAATAGTGATAATAATAATAATACTACTACTACTACTATGGAAGTAGATATCCCACAAGCATTATCTATACAAGAACGTATTATTACACGAATGGCCACTACACGTCCACTCTTTGCAGGAACATCTAAAGTACATGAAAACGCATTACCGCATTATACCGGTCATGTTCCTTCACATCCTCATAATATTGCGATGCAACATGGAAATGATCATGATCCAATAAGAGAATGGAGTAAATCATATATGACTCTTGCAGTTCATGGTGGAGGTGTGGATTCCACTACACTTGGAAAGAATCCATTGGTGCGTAGACGTGGAGGAACTCGTGCAAAACCCGCAAAGGCACTTCCACCGAAAAGTAATGCCGCTATTGATACTACAGTAGAGGGATCTATGCTGCACGCTACCTTTACAAGTACAACACCCGCAGAAAAGGCGATGAACCAACGAGTACGTGAACCACCTTCTCTCTTTTAGTTTAGAGAGAAAGAGAAAGAAAGAAAGAAAGAATGAGAGAAAAAGAGAGAAAGAAGGAGTAGAAAAAAAAAAAAAATAGATCTTCTTAAAGCAGGTGTATATGATGAATAATGGAGGATTAGAGTTTATATATATATATATATATATATATGAATTAGTACACACATCCAAAGAAAGTGAAGGAAGGAAAAAAGAATTTGTAATTTATTCATTGGAACCCCAACAACAACAAAAAAAAAAAA